AGAAAAAGAAAAAAATGATAGCCCAGAACGCTTCAAATGTTATTTTCGGGCGTCTAGAACACACAAATTTCGCGGGGCATGCCCCCGGACCCCGTAGGACATTGTTGTCTCGATCGGCCCAAATTTCGCCCCTCCCTTTCGGCCCCCCTTTTGGACATCTCTGGATCCGCCCCTGAAATGCCCTTTGTTTGCTTTATTAAAGAGCTATCATTCCCGAGTTTGGTACTAGGCATACTTATACGTGGTCATTTGGATTATCTGCCGACCAGTTTCTCTGAGTAATAAACATGATGAACATTACGTTTTGAGTTACATTTTAAGTATTATTGTGTTTTTTTTTTTTATACCTGCATAGTATGCTCTCTTGGATTACCTGGCGATCAGTTTCTGTGGGTAATAAACATGATAAACAGGACTGATCTACATTACGTTTTGAGTTGCATTTGGAGAATTGATGTTGTAGATACATTTCAACTGAATTTAATATGCCCACAAGTTGAAGCAAACACTATAGATTTTTTGAAATTATACACGAAGTACAAGATCTGACATTCATTAAAAAATGATTTCATATTTGTTACAGATTAACTGACAATTCCACACAGGAGCCAACTGTTTGTAACACAAAACGTTTTTACATTTATTTTCCAGCTTCCGAGAACACTGGTGAACGTTGTGGGAGTACTTAACGTGCCAGAAGTCGAAGCCTTACGAGGACCCATATGTGACGTATTTCATTTGTAAGCAATTTGAACATGTGTCATATGTGAGGTTGTAATAAATTTCAGAAAGCATTTCATTGCCAGCTTTGAATTGCAAATATCCGAAACTCTTCATCTTTGACTTGTTGTGACCGACCAATGAACTTCATTTACTTGATGAATATGCATTAATGTGCTGAACGTATACACATATGATGTGAATACGTATTCGTACGACAAAGAACTATCTTTTCGGAGTGTCATTCAAACTCAACAACTGACCAATCAGAGCATTGTTAAGAATACGCGCATGTCCCACAAACACACGTGTGTCCCATAAACGCATGTGTTTACGTACGTTTACGCTGTTTTTTGTGCGACTTTAGCAACAATATTTAAGGGGCGGGGTTAAGCGAAAGGTCCATTGTAGGGTTACGTGCTAAGAATTTAAAAAAATTACCTAAACGTTTACAGAATGGGAAACCTTGAATTTTGATTAAAAGACACTTCACAAGTCGACAAAACTCATTTCTCGCCATCTAAGAACCAACATTTTCCCGGGGAGGGGCCCGACCCCCGTTTTATTTGGGGTTCATCGATTTATTGAAAAAAGAATATGTATGCAGCGACTCAATTTTTGTTATGGACTGTACATACACACATAGTAGGGCTACTAGTATTAACAGTAATAAGAATGAGAAATTTACCTGACCGTTTTCAAGCGGAGGAAAACCTTAACATTTAAAGAAATTTAACAAGTCATTAAAAGACACCTCAGAAGTCGGGAAAGCTCATTTCCTGCGATCTAGTGATCAATTTTTTCCGGAGAAGACCCCCGGACCCCCTTCCTCTTTGGGGTTATCCATTCATGGAAAAAAGAACACGTAAGCAACCCAATTTTTTTTTGTACGTATATACACATAAATAGGCCTATTTACTGTAATAAGAATGAGAAAGTTTACCTGACCGTTTTCAAGAGGTGGAAAACCTTGAATTTTGAAGAACTTTAAAGTAATTAAAAGACACCTCAGAAGTCTGGAAAGCTCATTTCCCGCTATCTAAGAATTTTCCCCCGACCCCCCCTTTTTGGACGTTTTTATGAAAAAAGCCTGACCCCCCACCTTAAATGTGAACCTAGAACCGCCCCTGCGTGCGTCTTTCATAACGATAATATAAGAACCAAAATGAAATGCTATGTAGATTAAAAAAAAAAACCTTTATTGGTATAATGTTTCAGCAAGCCTGCTCTAATTTGACAATCAGCATATCTATCGAAGTGAGTTAAGACAAATTTATTTTCGCTCTTTTATTAGACTTTGGTGTGACTGTGCAATGTTTCTGGACGAAAAGGAACTAACAAAACTTACCCAGGTTACACGAGAATACCAGGTAGGCCTAAGTGAAGTGTCATCGACTTTATGGACACGAGACTAACTAGGTATAGTAACCCCGATATTATTATGGCCAGGTATACCTCTAGTATCATTAATTTGTAGGTTCATATTGTGTATGTATGCATATTAAACACTGTTGCCCTCATAACTATAACTTATAATCTTAGGAGTTGTTTTTTTACCAATAATTATTGAATGTCTCTTCGGAGAATGGCTCTTTGAGAAAAACAGTCTACCATATTAATTTATGAGCTTTTGGGCTATTATGGCATGTTATTCACATTTTCGTAAACCAATAGAGAAACTTTGTAGAGCATTTAAATTTGCTTTTTGTTTTTTGCGTCTTTTACTTTAAAGGTACTCTAGTCTGATTTTCATTGATTCTGTTGTTTGTTTTTGTTTCACGAAATAAATGAAATGAAATAAGTATTCATATAATTGTGTGATTCTTTATATCAACACAGCGACTGCTACAAGAGACAATTGGTAGCGGTGTACTGGATGGCAAACCAGACTTCACCGCAGTCCATCAACCATTCTTGCATAACACCGGGGTACCGTTAACAGAGGTGATGCAGTATAACGTTGTAACTTTTAGTTAGTGTGGTACCATATAGGCCTATCATACAATATTGATAAAGGCTATGGCCGTAAGAATATTACATTATACATTATCCACATTGTTGTTTCAAAATCAATATCAATTTATAGTAATACGAATATATATTATTTAGACAGGGCCTATAGGCATATGTTCACAAAGGTGACAAAAATTGCAGTATAAATTTTGTTACTTTTAGCAGACACAGTGTGGTACCAGTTATACAATATTGATATGTCCGTGATGATATTACATTATACATTATCCAGATTTTTGTTTCGGGGTTTCAAGCCTATAATATTATATTTCAATTACATTTGACATTTGAAATATATATATATTTTTAATTTATTAAATTTTCAATTCATTTATTCGATCAATACCCCAACAAACTATACAGACAAAAAAGAAGAGAAATGGAAAGACTTTTAAAACTATTAGGTCTTGAGAGAATTGTTTATAAAAAAAATAAGGTTAAGAGTACAAGACTGAAACAATAATAATAATAATAATAATAATAATAATAATAATAATAATCATTATTATTATTATTATTATTATTATTATTATTATTATTATTATTATTATTAATATAATTACAATTAAAACTTTCCAACATTATTTATGAAAAAATTTTACTAAATAAAATTCGCGATAAAATTGTTTTGAAGAAGGATTTTTAAAATTTATGAAAATTTAAGAATTTAAAGTACGTGTTTCACGATATTTTAATGAGCAACGAGTGTGCCTATAAATTTAGCCCTAGCCTGACATATTCTATATTTTTATACCGATGATAAACATTTTGTTGATTATTTTTAATGAAGTTGACTTTATTTTATTTTTTTCAACAGGAAAATCCTTACATATATACAAATATCAACAGTAAAGCTGGATTCCGTGGCAGACTAGAAGATATGTACAAATCGTCAACAAGAAACATTCACAATCAAATATATATTAAGTTACTTAGTGCAATTTTTGTTTTCTGCGTTCTCAGAATGCAGTTATAGGTTTATGGAATTTGTATAGCTAGGACCTACTTGATTGTGGTATTGAAGATTAAAATTTATTAATACACAGCTTGCATACTTTAGTAGAGCTTGTTTTTTTATATGAAAAACATGCAAAAAAATCTCAGGGCTTGTTTTGCATGGCCTTATAAGTTCCATTACTTATATTTACTTTCAATAAAATAATGTAAAGCATTATTAATATTGTTCATGTACAGTATGTTCTGTTTACGTAATTGTAAATAAAATATTATATGTAATAATAATGTATAAGAAACGTTAGGCCTATTATTTTGAATCCCTGTTCCATTGGTGCAGTGGCGTATATAGGAGTATTGCAATAAGGGTGGGGGAGGTGAGGGGCTCCATGTAAATAGGCCTACGCCACTGCATTGTTGTGCACGTGTTTTTTTTCTGAACAGATATAAGCCTATCTAATCAAACATACATCGTGTATCTTTCCGTTAGATGCGAGATAAATCTCTGCATTGCCGGTTGAGTCGAACAGAGAAGTATTGGTTGTAGGTGATTTAACAATAATTGTCCGTGCAAGGTGTCAACACTAGTTTGACTGAAGAAACGCAATTGCTGCTGATGTCATGCACACGCGCTAACTGGTTTCTGTGTATGTACTTGACCCATTTCCTTCTTTAACAGGTCTTCTGTGTGCTATAACAATATTGTGTTAAACCCATAAAAGATGTTGTTTTCTATCAATAGTGACATGCTACATGTTTCCGTGAAATGCTAAAATTTGCAATTGCCAAAACGATGCTAAACAGCTACAAAGTGTTGCTAAGTGCGCGGCATTCACTGCTCGTGCGACCGTCGTACGACTCCAACACCACCTGTGAGCGGTAGACGACGCGACGCCGTTCATTTGTTGGCGGCAGCCTGAACGGATCGTCAATAAAAACGATGCGTTGCGCGCGTCGTCGTGGCGTTGCGTTCTTCATAAAATCGTGTCGGCCGACTACCGTCGTGTGAGTGAGTGCCCGGCGTGTGCTATATAATAACTTTGCTATAAAATGTTGGTGTTAAAACTATAAAAGATGATTTGATTCTGCTAATAGTGACACGATATTATATTCCACATTTCCATAAAAGTGTGGTGATGCAATTATTGGTTGCTCAATAATACGTTAAACGCAAATTTCAGTGAAAAAAAAAACCTATCTCGTGTCAAAATATTCTGGAAACTCACAATATTTAGTCTCTTCGTTAACAGAGTCAACAAAGACTATATCACGCATCAATATCATCTTCTAGAAATTCTGTTAAGATCTAAGCAGCAACGCAGTGCTGATATTTGTGATTCTTTGTAAAGATATTGGAGGATTTTAAGTTTATTACATCTTAGCCACTGGGCATGTCATCAATCAGTGTTATATTGCAAGAAACCTAGAATATTTACTTACAGATTTGACTCTACTGCCAATGTATAATCCTTTACATACTAAAATAATGAATTTTCTGATGGACTGCGAATATTTTCCAATCAACTAAGACATATCGGTTGTCAATATTTATATCAGGTTTGTTCATATCCAAAGAAATTGACCTTTCAAATTGAGTAAAAAAATAATTCATTCCAAATTGACTCGTCTCTTTAATCACAATTTCGGGGAGGTAAACTGAAAGCCAACTCAGACAAAGCGCTGTGCGACGCAGCCCGACGGGACATTCTTCGGGGTGGGACAGTCTTACGTCATCGCGAGAATACTAAATTCTACGACTGTCCCCGACGAAGTTCGAAAGCGGATACACACTGCTTCCACGATTGTCGACTGACGAATCTATCGCCAATCTCCGTAAGTGCAAAACATGACCATCATCCGTCCCCAAATGAGCACATAAATTGATTTATCATTTTTTTCATTTTTATATAAGCGTATGTGAAGTCGCTAAAAAGAAATACAGGCATTAATAAATTTATATATTATATATATATATATATATATATAAATATACATATATATTTATTGATATTTATATTGACTGATGTATATATTTAAAAACATACCAGGTACCCCATCCCTCATTGAAATATGGTGCAGATAAGAAATACACAAACAACTTTAGATTATTCACTTCTTGTAGGCTTCAATTATATTGACGCTAGTTGTTTGTGATGTACATTCAATGAACCATGTAAGTCACAGCAGTGTTCATAACCTCAGCATCACCTACGCTAGATAGACCCGGTCACAGGAGCGTTACATTAACATTTCAATGAACTATAAACACAGCGATGAGCGCTGATCTAATGTGCGCTACATGCGTTCGGATATACGATAAAATTAACGCGTCAACATTCGAACATCTGATCGCAATATTCACACTGATCTCCAGTCTATGCGTTACTTGCGTTCAGGTATTCAACAAAATAAACGCGTCGGCATTTATTTTAATGAATATCTAAAGGCAGTGTTCACGCTGATCTCCAACCTACTTGCGTTCAGATATTCAATTTAATAAACGCCTATGCGCTACTGGCTTTCAAATATTCAATAGAATAAGCGTGTCAATATTTATTTATTGAATATCTGAAAGCAATAATCACACTGATCTCCCATCTTTGTGCTACTTGCATTCAGATATTCAATAAAATAAAGGCGTCAACATTTATTTATTGAATACCGAACGCAATAATCACATTGATCTCCAGTCTTCGTGCTACTTACCTTCAGGTATATAAACGCGTCAACAGTTATTTTATTTAATATCTGAATGCAATATTCACACTGATTCTCAATCTATGCGCTGCTTGTATTCAGATATTCAAATAAACGCGTCAACATTTATTTTATTAAATATATGAACGTAATACTCACAATGATCTCCAATCTTTTTGGTACTTGCGTTCAATAAAATGAACGCATCAATATTTATTTTATTGAATATCTGAACAGTGGCGGCGACAGCGGGGGCAGGGGAGGCTTAAGCCCCCACCGGACAGGTCTCAAGCCCCCTGCCGGACAGTCAGACCATAAAACATATAAAAATAGGCCCACACCAAGCCAACACATGCCTGTCACAGTCTGAGAGTGCCATTTTCGGCCATCCAGAGGTTGATATTCTTCAAAAAAGTCTCATTTGGGAGGGGGAACCCCTCTCAACCCCTTCCTCCAGCTCGAGCCTACGAGCTAAAGTACCCCTGTCGGACAACTTAGCCCCATCCTCCCCCCAGAAAATATATCCTAGAGCCGCCACTGTATCTGAACGCAATAATCACACTGATCTCAAATCTATGCGTTTCAAATATTCAATAGAGTAAACGAGTCAATTTATTTTATTGAATATCCGAACGCAATATTCACAATGATCTCCAATACTTGCGTTCAGATATTCAATGAAATAAACGCGTCAACTTTTCTTTTATTGAATATATGAACGCAATAATCACACTGATCTCCAATCTTTGTGCCACTTAGATATTGAGTAAAATAAATGTTAACGCATTTTGAATTTGAATGAGCTGAAACCAGAAACTTGGCATTTAACCAATCCAGTATCGGTTCGAAAACTAACAGCTGTTAATTGAACATGAATATGCATCGTGTTGATCTTTCAGAGCAGTCGTGTTGACTAATTTATCGATTTGCAATTTATGTTACCCCTGTGTTCACACGTAAGCCTATCACAGAAATCGGAATACAAGAGTTCGGCGTCGGTCTGTGTAATATTGTCACTGTACGTCGTATGAACGACATAATGTTTTAATAAAATAAAATCACTTTATTCTAACCTTTGTAAAGTTGAATTTTCACCTCTATGAAAAACATTTATGAAATTACAATTTCGTTATACATTGAAGTCGATTACCACTAAAGCCATAAGGGAATCAAAATCATTTGAAAATAAAAACCAAAGTAAACCTATTAACATTGAAAATTACCCTCCTCCTACGCAATGCATTATAATACTACAATCTTTAAGACTTGTGGGCACCTAGCTGGCTATTGTGAGTATCATGTTGTTATTATTATTATTATTATTATTATTATTATTATTATTATTATTATTATTATTTATTATTTTTATTATTATTATTATTATTATTATTATTATTATTATTATTATTGTTATTATTATTATTATTATTATTATTATTATTATTATTATTATTATTATTACCTAATAATAATATTATTACTAATATATTACTATAATAATTGTTATAATCATTATTCGATATTACTTTGT